TTGTAAGGACAAGATGGACATCCCGACATTGAGATTTGAAGAGTAAACAACTTTCTCCTTTTTTAAAGGTTCCGCATTACACATCAAGCTATTCATTTTCATTAGTGCTTTTGAGAAGTTCTTATGAATGCCTTAGTTGCAGGTGAGGTCAACATTTATGATCTTGATGTTGAAGAGATATTGAGATTTTTGAGGTTGTTGGTGCTAGAGGTTAAAAACGGGAAGTCCACGAGGTGGGTGGCATTGCCTATGATGTTCAAGAAGTTCCCCCATCAATCGACTCGTCACTCCCTTTTGTTGTGCCTACTATTCCCCTTAGTTGGTGGCATTGAGTGCTGCCCCCATCGTGGGCCCACTCACTACCTTCACCTTGTGGATAGTGAAGATATTGCTGATATGACTACCTTTTTTTCCTTGTGTGTTCATTATGGTGAGTTTTATTTCACAAAGTGGGGAGTTCATCATCATTCGTACTTCCTAACACTTCATACATGCTTGCGATTCACTCAAATCTTCTTACGGGGTTGTTATATATGCTGCACTCACGTAAGAGTGTCAAGAAGTGGGAGAAACTACACGAAGTTATTAGTAAAGAAAGACCATTTCTCACTTATATAGAAAATCATAAAGACATGGTGAGTGAAGTAATTTTTCCCTTGTGTGGTTGAGTATGTGGCAGCCTTCTCCAATGATTAGATCTCATGTGGAGCTTACAAATTGGTCTATACCTTTTATTCATCCTACTTTTAGGAAGGTATTAATGCTCTCCTCTTCAAATATCTCCTTTATGCTGGAACGAGCACTTATGCAAATGATTTGGTAGGAAATTTTACACAAGCTTGCTATTACAATAAGATATGCCATCAAGTCATGAGGAGTTAAGGATGGTGAAGTAGTTGCTTCTCAGGGAATATGACTTCTGCCAAGGGGTTGAGGAGGCGAGAGCCTTGTTGACTATTGTGACAGCCAAGTTGACTTTTGATGGGGCATCTCTCTGAGATATGCTCAGCAAGGAAGGTGCACTTGCCGAATAACTAGAAGAATATACGTTTAATGAGATTTTGAGTTAGCGAGACATTGACTTGAAGCGAAGAGGATTATTGAAGTGATTGAGACGTCAACCCAGGAGGAGATCTTGGTCGAGAAGGACAATCTGGGTATTAACTATTACTTAGAGAAGCTGGTCGCCTTCAAGGAGCTCTTAAAAAAGTACTAGAAAAAAGCCCATTTTTACCAATTAATGACCAATTATTCTTCAACGGGAGAGCCCAATGGAGCGGGTTCGACTAATGTTTGAGGAGTTTTTTTCTGTTATTTACTTGTAAAAGAGAAAAAAATGACAAATATTGTGAGTTGAATCTATATAACTGAAAGAAATTTTTTTGCATACTTCCTTGTTTTACCTATTTTATGATTTGCACTTAAGTATTATTAAGTCAAGTAATCCTTTAGGCAATCGGGCAAATGACTCTTTTAGGCTTTTAAATTTATTCATATGCAGGTTTTCTTAATGATGATTGAGTAATTAACTCCCCATCAAGTAAAATAGATGATCTTTACTAGGGGAGTGTTATGAATGATGTGCAAATGGATAGTTCATCTCATGTCTTGGTTATTTTCTAGTTGTAGCCTTGAATATTTTTGACAGATTTTTGAGTTGGTAGAGGTTTTCATCTACACTTGTTGATAAATGTACTTGCACACTATTCAACTCATATCTTTGTCACAAAAGGCAGAGTCAGATTCGATGGGTAGGCTTTTTAATAGTTCACGAGAATTGAGGTTTGATGCTTGAGATTTGGTAAGTGGATGTAAGTGACTTTTTAACCATCCTAAAACTAGGCTTGTGTCTTATATATAAATTCCCCCGAAATCTTGACTTATATTGAAGATCCTTTTGAGATAATGCACCTTTTTTATGAACTTGACTCTGAGTAACTTTGGAATTCTTGCCTAATGGTCTTTGCCATGATGGTAGTTGCATTCTTGGCCTTTTGTTTTATGGGGGTGGCTTCTTTTTTCATGTTCAGGAAATGACTGACTATGTTGATATTTATTTTTTGGTATCTTAGTTATTTAAATGAGCACTGCAATATTTTCTTTGAGAGCGTAGACAAGTCTTTTATGCTTGGGGTGAAGACGATGCTGATTTCAGTAGTGCATCTCGGGAGTCATTTAATAGCTTTGACCACTTATATGGCCTCAAAGGTTTCCAACTTTGCACTCCTATCTACCTCCAATTATAGGATCCCATGCATACAATTTAAATCCTTGAGCCCTTGATTGTATTAAGTTTTCTCTCATTGTTATTTACCTACGAGTGAGAATTTCATAATGACGTGATAAGTTGATACAAATGCTTTAAAAGTGTTCAAGAGTGGGCTTCCAAAGACAACATTATATGTATTGGGCGCATCGACTATGATAAAACTGAGTTTTTATTCATTTAGTTTACCATCTTTCTTTTGTAAACCCATAGCTTGAATTTGTTGTAAGTCTCATGCGGGTGCTCTTAAGGTTTATTTTAATCAAACGTATTTTTGAAAATGTTGTTGACAGACATTTTGGTATCATTTATGTTCTTCTTTTATTATTAGTAATTAGGATCCTAACCATCACTGCATTGTTAAATGAATTCCTGCTTATATGCCTCGACAAAGGTGATAGGTGCGATTTTAATATTCAGCGCTTTGAAGCTGATGGTTGAGTTCATCTTTTTAAGATCGGCAGTCTTTTGTGGCTTGATTGCTGGCTTGCTTTTTTCCTCTGTTCTCTCATAGGCACCTTGGGCTCCTTCCAAGGTCAGTTAGGATAAATTCTTTCAACATCTTCGTTTTGATCAACTCCACCAGGTTCCTAAAGTATTGAGAATCTTCGGTGCCATGCCAATGGTCTACTCTCATTAGCTTCAGTTGTTTGATGACATTCTTATTTTGGATAAGCTTCTTTGAGTTTCACTATAGAAACTCATAGAGGTGTGGTTGTTGGATAATGGACAATGGGTCCTTATAATGTTGCCAAATCTAGGTTCATGTTTCTTTTCTATTGGATATAGGCAGCTATTGATACTAAGAGGCAATTAAAATTACTGAGTTCTCCGGATGTTCAGATAATTTTGAGGGTGAAGTCTCTTCTCTGCAGTCTCTCTCTATGGGCTTTTTTTGCCCTATGGTTTTTGAAGTGGTCTTCACTGTTTGGCCCTCTCTGGAAGGCACCTTATGGTGGCCCTGCCAGGACGAGTTGAGGTAGTTGATTTGATCATGTAGCTATACTCTTCAATATTAATGTAACATTTTGTTCGTTAAAGAAATTAAACCAATGTCCTTGAGTACTGCAAGCCAAGTGCAAATCTTAGTGAACCTTCCTGTAGGTCTTGGAAGAGGATGGCTTGGGTGATTGTGGGAGTTTGTTTACTTTCAAACTCTCCCTTTGGAACCTCTCAATGAAATTTTGAAGAGACTCCTCAAACTCCTGTTTCATATTAACAATAGCCTGCAAGTTCTTCTGTGGTCTTTTGGTGTTAGTTAACTGAGAGACGAAAAACTTTTTGAACCTGACAAAAGAGGTGATGACTCTCAGCGGAAGATGAGTAAATCACCAAAGAGGCAATTCTTTGAAAATAGTGAAAAATAGGTGACACCTTAATGTATCATCAGTGGTGAGCAGCAATGTCATTATTGATGCCCTTGGAAGGGGTCTTCTCTTTTGCAATCTCCTTTCTAAGCTTATTTGTCAGCCACAGTATTTTTCTTTCTACTCTCGTTTAGGGTTGGGAATTTTTTTCTTAGCTAGGCTTGTAAGTTTCATCCCTGGTGTGTGTGGTGGTCAGTTATCTGGCGCTTGAGGGCTTGTCCTTATTTTAAGTCCGAATAACTTTCCAGCATCTCCATCCTCGTGACCCTCCTTTAACCTTGCTCCAAAGCATTCTAATTCATTTGTGTGGTCATCTCTTCTCAATCGTCACGTTTAAGTTTTATTCTCCATCCTTTGGGGTGCTTTGATATTGGGGTGACCGAATTTTCAGTGTAGTTTTAGTTTTTTGGCATCAATCTGAACTTACCGCATTTGAAATGATGTTTGATCCAAATTTATTTATAGATAATTCTACTCCTGACAGGGATTGCTTACTGATCCAAATTTATTTATGAATAATTCTACTCCTGAAAGGGCTTGCGAAATTAAAGCTGATATGAGCAAATAAAAAATGGAGGAGAATCTAGAGATAAAAGCTTTGAGCATTCTATTCCCCAGAATATTGTAGATGTCCCTATATGCTCTAAGTAATCCATAATTTACATGGATTTGGGTGTTACAGTAAAAATTTTAAACAAAGATTAAAAAATTGAATGCTTGATTGGATTTTTATAGACATGTGACCAAAATAATCATGGCTCTGGACTGCACATAGATGACAACACGAACGAGTGCTTCAGAATCTTCCATCACTGAGTGGGTGAGGTTGCCAAGAGAATAGGTGAAGTCACCAACCATATGAATGAGATCACGAACTCTTGACTAGTGTCTTCTCGAGTCTGGGTGAGTGGCTTGGCTTTTGGGTTGGGGTGAATGCTCTAAGGTTGGGTGAGTCTGTTTGTGTTGGACGGGTGATTCTGAGGTGGGGCAAGTGTCATTGAGCCGGTCCGGCGCTTTTTTGGATCATGCAAGTGATCCTTTGGTTTAAGCACACTTCATATTGCCATCTTGAAATACATGCTTTAGATGTACACTATCCTTATTGAGAGAATGTCAGATGAAATTAATGGTACTCTGCCCGGATTCAGCCTGATCCTTTAAAGGATTCAGTCTGATAGTATTTGCTCAAAACTTTAATTCAAAAATTGCTTTTTTTGTTCGAGAAATTTGCCGGCTGCTGTGAGTGCCTGACAGCTATTTCATACTGAATTAAAGACAAAACAGCATTTACTTGACATTAATATGCATTCCTTCATCTAAATAAAAACAAAATGAAAAGGAAAATATTGATCTGAGTACATTTTCAGGAGAAACGTCCAGAAGAGGAGTCAGTTCCATCACCATTGCCCATTGTCCTTCTGAAGGATGAACGTTTTGGTTCTGCTTGGTGGGCTGGGGAATCTCAAGCCATTCAGGAACCAGAGACAGAGAAGATTGACGAGTCATTGTTTTGTCATGAAGTGCTTTTTCCTTTCACTAGCATTGGAGGATCATTTCTACAAGTTGACTCTCGAGTTGTTGCTGATGGTAATAAAGAACAGCTCACACGAGATGTGAACTCAGATGATGGCCTCCCTAGTCTCGATGGCATAGATATGGACACTCTGTCAGACTTTCATCTTTCCGTAAGAGTTCCAGTGCTGTTTACTCATTGCAATCTAAATAAAGCTGATATTCGAAATAAATTTTCTTTTAATTGGTGATCCATTTAAAAATTCTTTGACTATGAGATCTAATCTTTGGGAAAGGAAAGGCTTGATGAATGTTTTATCCTGCTATAAGAATATCATAGCTATGTGCCATGTTGTCACACCTCACACTGGATTAAATTCTAACAAATGGTCGGCTTAGTAGGTTAATGTGCTCTTAAAACTTTTTTTTGAATAAGATATACACCTTGTAAAAGTAGTGGCATTTCAAAGTATTATGATTAAAACGAATAATATCTCATTCTATAGAACCAGCATCAGTATTGATTGAGTTCCCTGCCCTTCAGGACTTGCAATTCGGTTCTCAAGAAAGCATCATGAGCTGGTTGGACCGCATTTGATGATTGGTATGCGGCTGATGTTTTGGAATAGCACGAAAATCATCTGATTAAGGCCAAGTTTTGCGTTCTGCTTAGGATTTTGATGATTCTCAGAAAAGTTACTGAGGCCAAATTTTGAGCTCATAATTCAGCACTTTCCCGAACCATCAAGCTCTTATTCATATAGCATGGTAGCTGAGAATACCATCTATAATTCAACTTTGTAAACTGGCATTAGTTATTCTATTCCATGTTGCTGAATCAGAAAATTCTAATGCCTAGGAAAACTTGTTTTGCAAATCAATGGCTCTTTCATTGTTTTTTCAGTGGTCAGGCTGCAATGGCTATTCCCTGTAGGACTTTTGTATGTGAACAAACATGTTTTTAATGTTTTCTCTCTATCCACTAACTTTTGTTTGAAACTTGTATTTAAGTTGAAATGGTTTTATTAAAGTATTTAAGTTGAAATGGTTTTATTAAACTAACATCCTAGTAGTGTGCAATATAGCCTTTTTCATTTAGAATAGAATTTGTTTGATCACACCAAATGCTCGTTACTGGAAACTGGCTTTCAAATGCTTGATAATTTGTTTTTATCGTTAGTTTGGTATATTCATTGATGTTTTGCTGTTTACAAAAGGGGACAACCCTCGGTTAATTGTGTTTAAGAATCATATGAATCATAAAGAAATGGGAGATTATGGTCCTTCGGCAATAAAACTGGATTTAACTTCTTGATATTAAATTTAGATCAGTTGACTAAGCTTGACATTCTGTTATTGCGTAATATAAAATGAAGAGGCCAGGGTTGAACCAACAGGGGAGACTTTGATCATCAGTCACATTATTGGTTTTATCTGAAGTATTTGTGGTGCTTTTATGAGTTGATTTTTAATTTAATTCCTGAATAATGTTGGTGTATACTATTTAGCTTTACGTAGCCTGGCTTGAACTAGGTGGCTTTATGTTTGATTCTTAAGAGCATAGTAGTCAACTATATCGGTATTGTTGATTTCGCCACGAAATTATGCATGGATTTTTATCCACAATTTAATTTTCTTGTAACTTAATATATATGATTCATTTTTATTGTTAATATTTTTTAAGGTTTATTTTGGATTTGAGAGGTTATTTTAGAAATCAATAAATTCATGAGATCGAAAGAAACGCCACGCTAGTATTAAATTTGCTACTCAAGTAACTACTTTTATGTATTTTATCTATAATACGTAATACATTGTAAAAATTTAAAATCAAATGCTAGAATTTTTAATAGTTAATCATAAATTAGTCTGATGACTAAACACTTGTTTTGATCTTTCCTTTGAACAGGCCTAATTCTCGCACAGTAGGAATGCAATTTTGGGTTTCAGGAATGTCTACAATTTTATGATCTGTTAATTATTGATTAGGTTGTTAGGATTATAAAGTGAATTTAGGGTTCATATTTATGCAATGATTTAAATTAATTGAAAATGTTGAAATTTAGAATAATGCGAAATACATAATTATTTTATTGATATGAACGGCGGTATAAATAATTCTTAAAGAATCCTTTAATAAGAAGAATAATAAAAATAAATAGCATAAAAAGAAAAGAAATATCATCAAATATCTCCAATAATCAAATCATATTAATTATTTGGTGATAAAGTAAATAATATAAAATAGAAAAGCCTAAAATAGAAAAGGAATTAGTTCCTAATCTAAGGAAATAAATATAAAAAAAGGAAATAAAATAACTCATTAATACAAGGAAATAATTTATTCTTAATAATTTCTCACGTGAATAAATTATTTCCTAGTATAACTCTTAACACTCCCTCTCAAGTTGAAACATGGTTGAAAATCACGTTCAACTTGAATTTGAAAACATCAAACAATGGGCGAGGAATATCCTGTAAAGTAGAACTTGAAGTCTTCATCCTGTACTGCAGTTGTCTTTGGCTGCAGTTATTTTCAGTGTCTGTAGGTAAGTGGAAGGTTCCTACAGATAATGTTGCAGGGGAGTTTGCAGGTAACTAGACAATAGTGGTCGCAGTTTCTGCAGTGTCTGTAGGTAGACAAAAAACTCCTAGTACTGCTGCAGGGAATTCGAAGGGAAGTTGACAAATTTGATTGTTTTTTACAACAGTTCCTGCAGTGTTTGTAGGCAGACTGAAAGCTCCTACATGTAATGATGCAGATGAATTTGCACGGAAGTAGACAACTGTGATTGTCTTTTGACTGCAGTTTCTACATTGCCTATAAGAAGAAAAATTCAGGCTTGATTGAATTTTGAGTTTTGTGTGCCCTGTGTTTCGGTCTAGAGAGAAGAAAAATGGGGGTTTCGACAGTAGAGATGAAACCTATGAAGATAGATTTTCTGGAGGTCGGCAGAGTCAAGCTTTCGGTTCAAGGGGCGGCCAGTAGACAAAACTTCCAGGGAGAGAAGGAGATAAAATCGTTTTTCCAAATACCAAGATGAGTGTCGCTCTCTTCCTGCACAGAGGATGACAGGAAGGGAGTCCGAAGACTGGTGGCTAGAGTATGAAATTTGGCTTTGATATCATGTTGAAATTAAGAATAATGTGGAATAAAAAATTTTTTCATTGATATGAACGGGGATATAAATAACCCTTACAAGAATCTTATAATAGGAAAAATAATAAAAAAAAATAACATGAAAAGGAAAGATATATCATCAAATATCTCCAATAATCAAACCATATTAATTTTTTGGAGATAAAGGAAATAACATAAAATAGGAAAACCTAAAATAGAAAAGGAATTAGCTCCTAATCTAAGTAAATAAATATAAAATAGAAAATGAAATAATTTATTAATACAAGGAAATAATTTATTCTTCATAATTTCTCACAAGAATAAATTATTTTCTAGTATAACTCCTAACAAATATTAATATTACAAGTCATTGTTGGACCTAATCTAATTTTTACAAGCAATAACATAATAATGAGGGCTTATTATGCATATGAGAGTGATAATAATGTTCATATTTGTGTTCAAAAATCATATGAGAATTAGTTTGGTAGGCCACATTCATATTTTCTTTCCAACATTCATTCAATCAAATTTTAGGAAATATCTTGGTTCTATCATGTTAGCATAATGCACCACATTTTGACATTAAATAATTTTCATGAAGTAATAGTTAAGCATGTATTGTCCTATTATTAGAATGACTGTCACACCACCTTATAGTGCAACACTGTCTTCCAAGATAATATAATTCCAACAATCGTATTTTCTTATGCAGGTTTATCACATTTAAAGCATTATAAGTGTTATTAACTTGCATGAATGATCAATCATGATTTTCCTTTCTTAAGTTATACATCATTTATAACATAACACATAACTAGGAATAAATAATAAAAAAAAAAGAGAGAACTAGGAAGATCAACATACAAGTTAAAACTATAAGAATAAATAAGACAATGTAAGAGTAGGTCCACTAAAAAAAATGTGATGATATTAAAGTAGTATTCATTATTTGAAGGTAGTCAAGAAGGAACAAATAAGACATTGGTGTTCCTCTTTTGCACCTTTAGTTATAATTGCGTAAGTTACAAATCACTCTTAAGCCACTTGCTAAGCAGTGGAGTTATAAACTTTTTGCTTAAAAAGTTGAATAACCTAAATAAAATTGGGAGAGTTTTTTTATTGATTATTATGCTAGCAATTCTCACTTATTTAAGCTCGACCAAGGTTTTTCTTTGTTGGATACATGGCACTTTTGTATAGCTTAGCTATATTCCACAACCCAAGTTAATTATTAAAGAGCACAAATTTTGGTAGAAAGCTCCCAATTTGACTCTCAAAATGATTGATTCTCATTATGGAGATTATAGTTATATTCTTTGGTTAAAGAGTGCTAGGTAAGTCATGCCAAATCTCATCGTAAGCCATATTAAGATATCAAACCAAATCTAAGCCACATGCAAGCCACTAAGTCATGCCAAATCTTCATGCAAGCCTCCACACCAATTTTAGCCTAAAGATATCTTTTTGGATTTGTTAAAAAGTGGTTAGGTAATTTAATGAGTCACCCAAATTCATGCTTAACTCAAATCCTTGTGATTAGGACTTGTCCACCCAAGCCCCCTTAAAGCTCAATCTTTATGATGGGTGAGTACAACATATTTTGATGACATATAATAAAAGTACCCAAATTGAGCTCAAACACATTTCTCCAAAATCAAGTCAGTGTACACATGGCACATTCCCATTATCTTCTCCATTCATCATCACCTTCTCATTTTCTATTTTCTATTGAAAGCTGATGTAGATTTGTTTTGCTGTTGTAGAATGATGACCACCTTCATTTGTAGTCTGCTGTAAGCTCCTCACCGTAATGCCCACGAAGTTGGCTCCAAGCTCCTTAAAGAAGTAGTAATCCTAAAGTCTAAGGTTCAAAAGGTTTTACTAAATGTGTTCTAAAGTTTTTGGTTTTGTTGTCATTCAAGCATTATGGGGGGATTAAGTTGATTAAAGCGACACCGATTAGGATCACACGGTTCCCTCATCCTGGTACCATTATTTTCTTTTAAATTTGCTTAGTCTAAATGAGTTGTTAAGCTCATTTAAACTGAGGAGATCTCATTAGCAACTATGGGTTATCTCATTCGAGTGACTCCCATAAATTCAAAAGGACGTGTTAAGCTTTTCATTTTTTTATTTTAAAAATATTGTTTAATTTTGAAAAATGGTTTCACTTTGAAAACAAAATTGGAACTGTGTGCTTCCAATTTTTCATGATATATATTAAAGCAAGAGTAAATTATAGTAATAAAATTTAATAATAAATAAACTGTACATGAGTACCTGGCATTTCTACTGTTGTTGTTCCTGCTACGTGGTTAGCTCATAAAGCAGAATATATTTGTCGGAAATTTAAATAAACTTCAAGGGAAATTAAGTAAAGCAAGGAAACCCAGCACGGAAGTAAAAAAAAATGAGTCATAAAAATCACAAGCAAAAGAAATTCGTAATCACATATGGAAGACCAGGTTTGGGTGTAAGGCATTGGTAAAAAGTGGGGGCTCAGAGCTGGACTGTGTGCTTCCCGACCTTGAATAGGAGCTACCAACCCAACATTCTATAGAGGGCAATCCTTAACCTCAATCCAAATGACTAACTATGGACTTTTATAAGTTTTCATATAAAACAACTCTTTGATTTTCATGCAAAAGATGTTGTACAAGTCTTTTTACGCAAAGTTCTTTTTAACATGCATAAGAGATTTTTTTTTATTTTGTAAATATTTTATAAAGTTGTGTATTCCACAGGCTAGTCACTCTAATCATTCTATAACTACTGGCAACCTAAGAGTTTCAGGGGCAACAATCCCACCAAGAGTCGGCGAATAGTATCATCGATTCTTTTCTCTCCCTTATTAAATGCCCTTGAGGTAAGAGATACTATTCTAATAATCTCACTTT